CATTACTCGGATCAAGTGATACGTCCTCTTCCATCCCTAACTGCAAGTTCAGTAGCCAGCCCTACATAGCTTTTTATATTTAGCGATAAATGTTTTTCATAACACTTGTTTGTTTACTTGTTTGATGGCGTACGTGGGTTACTAGGTTATAGAGTATATTCTAAAGCTTTATAAATTTTGCATAGAATAATAATAAAATGGGTAATCAAAGATCATGAAGATTGTTTTGCTCTATCGAATGATGAAAAAATATATTTATTGCTAGAACTAGGTAAGAGCTAGGCCTATTGAAAAAAAATGATGATGAATAAAAATAAGAAATCTCTGTATTGGCTATTCGCTGGTTTTCGACTTTGAGACGCTCTGGATAGCAGAAAACGGCATATAGTCCGAAAATAGAGCGACTATGCCAGGTAGCTCTTCATATCTAATTTCTGATGACCTGTATTTGTATTGATTTTTTTTTACTCCTCTACTTCGTACATGACATATGAGTTGGCTCTCTAAAGACACCGACTGTATGTTGTACAAAGCATTGATTATTCAACAAGTTACAGTCATCTAACGTCCATCTATTACTGGCTAGTAATTTCTGTTTCACCCTGTGTTTTGGCTTTTTAAAGGAACACCAGATTTCTGTAAAAAAGCTAGCTTCAAAGGGTAATAACATCGTTTATACTAGCGCACTCTCCGATAATTACGATTATAGTACAAAGTCGAAATAAAAATTAGACCCCCTATTCAAATATCCAAATTGCCATTACAGAGGATCATGTACAATATGTGTTTTTAACTTTTTTTACGTTTACGACTTACAAATGACAATAATTATAGTACTTCATATAACTGATGATGAAATTGTGATACATCGTTATTTCGTCATGGTAGTTCTTAAAATGAGATTAAATGTAAATATTTCAGTCTTTATAAATTAAATGAATATAACACATCCAGAAGTAAGAAATAAAACCACATCTTCTCCAGAATTCTATATATCAAATAATTCTGAATTGTTACAACGGCTGACAACTATAATGAACTAGTTTTCGACCCCGATATACCACAGTTTTCTTATAATAGTTTTTCATAGTTTGTTTTGTTTTGTTTTTTTGTGAGGGAGTAAATTTCGTGCAAAACTACACGTTAGCTATCTGCGCTAACCGTCTCTAATTTAGCAGTGTAAGACTAGAGGGAAGGCAGCTAGTCATCACCACCCCCCGCCAACTCTTGGGTTACTTTTTTCGCAATGAATTGTGAGATTCACCGATATTATTATAATGCCTCCACGGCTGAAGGAGCAAGCATGTTTGATGGGACGGGAATTCGAACCCGCGACCCAGATTGGGAGTCAAGCGCCCTAACCACCAGACAATGTAGTTTATTTTTGTAATGATATACTATGGCTTTTTAATGTCATACTGTAATTTATGGTAGTATCGCAAATTCCTTTAAATGCTAATATTTTAACCACTGGAATGTAAACATCAATATTAAACGTTCTTTTTATTCTTGTTTAGTTTTAGTTATCATCTAAAATAATTTTAGAATAAAGAAAATCATTCATTCGAGGAAATAGCGCGCATTTTCAGGTATAAATGTTATTCTATTTTATCTGGTTCTAACATAGAGTAAATTCAGATAAACAAAAACAGTATTTCTATTAGCGAATTCAATTCAACTAATTGTTTCATATATGCGCGACACTGTAGAATACTATATTTCAAAGATCGGTTAACTTAAAACTTTTGATTTTAACCTGCACGTTTTCATGTCTGAATGACTAACAATTTCTTATCACGTGTTCTCAAACTAGTTGAAGTAAAGAACATTTCCATTTACACATCACCATTGAATTTTCAGTAAAGTGTCTGCTACATTCAGACACCACACAGAGTTTAATAATAGCCACCTATAGATGTTTGGAAGTTACACAACTATTACTGAGATGTACCATCTTGTTAGTCTATCCGTTTTATCACCCTCTTGAAGAAAGTGTGAGAGAGCCTTTGGAAGCGTTCCAAACCAGAACTTTGCCACCTGCCACAACTTAACAGTAGCCACATCAAACAATACGTATAGTTAACTTGTTTTTTATGTTATGTATTTTATTTATTTTCCGATATGTTTTCATGCCTTAACCGCCTCTTTTCTATGCGTGTTGTCAGCAAACTTTTCTCAACCAATGAACTTTCCTGGTCTGGCCGGGGGTAGGTTAGGCCTATACTTTAGATCGTGTAGGAGATCGGAAACAAGCACAGTCTCCACGGGACTTGCACGTGGCCAGCAAGAAGTATCGATTAAGTAATCAAGAGTACTCCTCCTCTAAGACGTCAGACTTAGTGAAGGCAGAACTTGGAGGGAAATGGAAGGAAGGCTCATCCACGTAAGCGAAATTCTTTCGGCCAAATTAAGGATATAGCAATGATACGACGCAGTCTGTAGGGAATGCCTCATAAAACCATGATGGTGCTGTCTATAAGGGTATCTACACAATCATACCGTGCTGCTAATTGTCTTCGCATTTGTACACTTAGCAGTTGAGATACAGGGCAACAATCGAAGTTCTGGAAGATTCATTTCGAAACCAAAACATATATTTTCTTCTGTAGGCATCTAAAAATAAGTGAATTATTCCAGAAAATTACCGATAAAATGCTTGAGAAGCATTCAAAATGTGATATCCTTAGAGATTTTGATCATTAATTTTCCTATCGTAATAAGGCTTACATACTGAGTTAAACAATAATTTCTGTTTGGGTTAAACATACATATTTGTTATTTTCTGCTACTTAAATTAAAGAGCCTTTATGTTGTATTAGACAATGATGATCTTTTATGTTGTATTAGACAATAATAATTTATGTTGTATTAGATAATGATAATGAGTTACTCAAAAATATCCAACAAACTAAGCAGAAATAATAATTTGGTTTATATATATAGCAGGAAGTAAGAGGCGGATATGTTTTAATAATATCCAGCTAGACAAGAAGAAACTATAAACTCGTAATATATTAACCATAATACGGCGCAAAAAATAAGGAATAACAGGCCAATGTGTTATTTAATAATGTCCAACTAGACAACAGGAAACTATAGGCTTATAATCTGTTTACCGTAATACGGTAAAAACAAAACAAAGAATAATAAGCCACTTGTGAGTTATTGAAAAATATTCCACAATCTAGCCAGCAATAAAATGTCTTAAAATGATAGATAGATATTATAGAAATAAAATTTATCTCTCCACTCTTCTTTCAGGGCATGTAAAAATACACAACATAGGTGGGAATAGAGGACTTTGTAAACATTAAAAAATGAATTAAGACTGACTGAGTGAAGAGTCGAGATGATGTTACAATAGCATGCTTTTCGTAAACAAATAATTTGTAGAAATATCAATATTATATAACAACACGGTTGATATACTTTGTTTTGTTTTTTCTGGTAGCCAAAAGATTCTACAGTTCTCCATGTTACTCATAATAAGTAAAGGTATGGTAACCACGAACTGAAGATTACGTGAAAACATAAAACAATTTTTACGTCGTTAAGAGCAGTCACATGTCACATGTAAAGGTATGGTAACCACAAACTGAAGATTAGGTGAAAACATAAAACAAATTTTACGTCGTTAAGAGCAGTCACATGTCACTTTGTATAAAATTAACAGAATCGTGATAAAACGTGGTGGTATAAACTCTACGTAAAATTATATTATTGAACTAGAATTATGTATAAGTTATAATATTAGTACTCTAGAACAGGTGTTTACCTAACTGTGGTCTCAAAGGGAACGTGGAAGACCTCTAAAGAAGTCGCATATATATTGTTACGTCATCGAGATCATGTGATTCTCACGCTCTCTACTATCTAGAATTATCCTGTACTTTGGCGAATGTTCTAGTTCTTACTAGATATAGGGTAGGCGGGTATATAAAAGAGGGGAATGTAACGTGTCTGGGTAGATAGTGAGTAATTGAACTGCAGTCAGAAGTATTATTGACGTTTGTTGATATAGCGTTTGTTTAGCGCGATTGTTGAAGTTGAGTGTATCGGTAAAGTTATATTCGGAAAGAATAAACCAGTTTTATTAAGTAAAGACTTGTGTCGTTAAAATTTCGTCGGAACGAAGTTACGGAAAAATCAATCAACAAAGGAGACGTAACAATATGAATGATATAAATAATAGTAATAGTTTAGTTTAGAAGATGGAACAGCCGAAATGGACCAATAGGTCCCATGTTGTTCCAAAATGTTATGTTATAGTATAAAATTATGAAGAAATCATAGTCATCAAAGCCTTTGATAGTGGTGATTGCTATAGATGTTATCATAATATTAACAAGCTACAGTTATGTAAGCCTACATATAATCAGGACCGCCGACAGGGGGCAACTGCCCAGGGCCCCGGGCGAATGAAATCAGGTTATGCCGTAAAGCCCGCAAAGCACCTTTAGGCTATATATTCATTTAATGATACAAATCATAGCTTTGACTTTTCTTTGCATATAGACGCTTGATACATTAAAAATGATTGAAATATTAATTTGAGTAATAATTAATATATATTTGTTACTTTAGAAATTTAATAGATATTTGTTGTTACTTTATTAAAATTTTTATGCTTATACCGTGAGCTAAAAACGGCTGCTGCTATGATTTTGCTTTGTTATGAGCTCGTTGCTGTCACAATTTAGGATCTTTTTAATAAGTTCTTTAAAATGTTAAAAACAGAGAGAAAGGGGGCTCGGCGAGAATGTTTGCCCATAACCTGTATTGGCTCTCGAGGCTCCTGCAAATAATTAACTTTTAACGTTGAAATTTTATCTTTAAAACTTTTTTTCTTATCAAACACAACAATATATAAGAAATTAAGGTACGATAATGACTGGAAAATTATAATTTAAATAGAAAAATCAGCGATATGTGTATTTTAATATTTATTCATGCACTCTTCTGACGCCTAACGGGGCTAGCAAAAACTAAAAGTAAAATAAAGGGTTTCGAAGCAGTTAGAGAAGATAAGTAAGCAAAGGCGTTAAACTTTAAAGTAGTTAAAATTTAATGTAAATTTGAAATCAGGATAACATTTTAGGATTCTTCTTTTTTTTTAAAATATAAACGCGTGATATTCGGACAGAGAATAATTCAGTTTTAAAAACAAAGAAGCGCAAAAGGTGAAAACCGAAACCACGAAGTCATAAGTATTGTTTGAAAATCAAAATTATTAAAACATACAATTTACATTAAAATTACAAACATCAAGTAAAACTAAACGCTGAAGTAGGTCACAGTGTAACTTGTGTAAGTATAACTAATATTATAATAATAGGTCATAGTGTGTTAAGGAGTAGATAAGTACATAGGAGTGTACTGTAAGTGTAATTTTTAATATTATGATATAGAATAATTTACTCAATAAAGCTGAATAAAGCCTATTTTCTTAACTGAAGTGAAGTTCAAGAAGTATTTCTTTTTCTTTAGTTTTAGGTAGATTTAAAATTGTAGTTTTAAATTAAACTAGATTTTTAAAATGGACACAGCTTAAGGTTATCACTTAAAAATATCAGAGTCCAACTTCTGAGGCTAAATCTATTTTTGTTAATACATTTTAATTCAAATGTTATTTTTTAATTATACTGTAGTTTAACGTATGGACAACATGAAACCATTTGGTCCTTCATCTTGTTCAAGGCTATCATTCCACTCCCATCTTTGAAAAAAAATAACTTAAACTCACCTTTTAGTTTTCAGGAAACCAGTGATTCTTCTCTTAGTTTTAGTATTACAATGTTTAAAGTGCCAACCTTCATTACTTCTAATGGCAGCTTGTTACGTAAGTCTATCACTCTGTTAGAAAAATAAAACTAGAGCCTAATCTGTATTTTCCAAATCTTGTTTTCTCTAACCTATCCTGTTCTCTTCAGAATACAGCATAAAGAAATTGGAGGCCTTTATCCTATCAACCCTATGAATAATCTTGTAAACTTCAATAGGATCACCTCATACCTTTCTCTTCTAAAAGTAAAAAGAAAATAGGTTAAGAGATCCTATAAGACAATCCTTCCATCCCTGGAGTCATCTTACTCTTAGTAGCCACCTCTGAACTGTTTCCAATAACTCAATATCCTTTTGTAGATAAGGAAACCAAATCTGTACTCAGTATTCTAAATGAGGCCTAACTAGTAAATTGTAGAGAGAGACAATTTAAACCCATTTTGACTGGTAATCATTATTCCCATAAATATACCCGACAGTTTTAATGCCTGATTCAAATTGACACATTTCTCTGTGCTTGAATACAAATGCTAGGCTTAGAAGTCCTTTTTTTTTCTTTTTAACTACCGGATGAATTATTTTTGTGTCTAGCTTTTAAATAGTAATTAGATAAGACTTAAGGTAAAGTTTCTAGAACAAAGCATTTTTATATTTGAAGATACTTTTATGGTGAAAGGTATCAGTGTCTAATAGATTTTATGCTTTTTTACATGTGAAAAAAAAGAAAAATGAAATTTTGTTCCTAATTTTTAGAAAGCTACTTTTTGATGCCATGAGACAAGGTTTATCATTAGCAAATTGGGATAGAAATTGATATGGAACAGCTATGGGAAATTGTTTTCAAATAAATTGCTGTTAATTCAAGATAGGCATAATCCTAAAAAACACACACAAAAACGAAAAGTATAACAAAAGTGATCAAACATAATTGGCATAAAAGACATAAATAAAAAGCAATCAGGGATAAATGCCTTAAGTTTAATATGTAAATTAACAGAGATTTATGGGAAAACTAGGGGATCTGATTGAAAAAAAGAAGTTAAGGAATCAAGAAACACAGATGAGGAACATCTGGCTCATAGTGTTAAATCTAACAGAAGGTATTTGTTTAAGCATGTTAAAAGGTAAACAAAATGTTACAATGCTAAATCATTTTGATGGCAAAGATTTGTTAAAGACTATATGATGACTGAACTTTTAACTGTTTTCTTCTGTTTTTCCAAGAGAATATGTTAGCAATATTTCTTACTCTTAGCATTCTTTGGGAAAAATTGGAATTGATCTCAGTCATGTAGATGTTAATCCCTTGTTGATAACTAGAAAGAGAGATTACATATAAATAACCAGGACCAAACAAGATTGATTCATTTCATCAGGAGCTTTATCTAAACAATTGGGGTGTTATCTCAATATATCTCATCTGTCTGGCACTAGAGTCTGTAGAGTCTGATTACTTTTGAGCATTGATTACATTGATTAGTATCATGTAAGATATTGATTAATCAAAATTACAATTAAATCAACTAACTGCAAATCAGAGTTTCTGGTTATTACTCTGATTATTCCAAATATCCAAGTAATAACAAATAATTCCATTATTATTTTGGATTAATTCAAGGTTATTTAGTTTAGTAAATTAGTGTCTTGGTTCATGAAAATTATCAACTAACTCAAATTATTTATTCTGATTATTACAATTTTTGATTATTCCAACTATCCATATCTTATGGAAGAGTAATTGATTAGTTGATTTTGCTCGATTAGTCAATTAGAAAATTCCACTGATTGCCCAGCTGTAGTCATGGAGCTGACACATATCACAGGATTAATTAAATCCATATTTTTCTATGTGTTGAGGTTTCTTTATTAACTTGTGCATTAGAAGGCAAATAGGTTATTAAATCAGTCTTTTATTTCAGATGATGTATTAGAAATAATTCAGATAAGCTGACCTATTCAAATTACTATGCTCATATGTTTAAAATTCACAGGAAGTCTTTACACCTACTCTGTTTATGTATTAACTCTTTGGTGCACATGATATGGTCAAGTGAGCAAACTTCAACTACAATCAAATTTTGATGCATGACACATGATGGTATAAATAAAATTAGGTATAAAATAAAAAGGAAAGTTGTGATGTGAACTGTAGCCAATTGTATAAGTAATCATAATTACCCTAGGTATCAGGTAAATTTTTCTAAATTTGATGCAGGTGTTCTGTATGTAGTATGATATTCCTGTTAATCAGTAGTCAAAAGGTTGTAAACAAATAGTAATCCTTTTACTGAGGTAAAAATTGCATACCCCACTGTTTGGCTAGAGAGTTGTATCATTTTGAGTTTGTTACTGTTCCCCCTCTGGAGGCAGAGAATTTTTTTACATAGCAACCAGGCATTAATTTAGGTGCCCAGCCCCACTTGAGTGAGACTCAGTATATATCTAGGCTCATGTCTAAAAAACATTACTCTGTTGCTTTTCATATTTTTTTTATTCCAGGAGCAGGCCTAAGTTGGCCCAAGATCTGGCAGGCCTGGGTACATTCACCCCTTGCTCCACCTATTGCAAGGCCCTGCTCCTGTCTCTTTTTACTTCCTTAATTTCCATGTGTCTATTTTGAATTTTCTCCTGAATCCAAAACATTCTCAGGGGTTATTACCAAAGAGTGTGATCATTTATGATATCTCTGTTCCTAAATATACAAAAAAGTGGAATAGTTATTTTTTCAGTTTTTATTTGTATCCAAAATTTGCAACTTGATAATTTGTGCACCACATAATGTTAACTTTAGTTTTTTATCCAAAGAACTTACTGTAGAGACAAATCAATACAGTAGAAGTATGATAATTTATTTGCATAAATTTTATTTTTACTCATTATTATCATTTTTGCTTTTGGTCATTGTGTGTTCTACCAGAAACACTGCCATACGGGCTGCTGTTTGTCTAATCATTGAATTCTTTGAAAAAAATTTAGAAAAAGTCAACATTTTATAAAAAAAAAAAAAAGAAGATTTTTTTGGGGGGAAGCAATAAATGGGAAAGGTGTTTAGATTGTGCTCTTTAGTCATACACAACTCATTGCATCAAAATTATTCAATGTCCAGATCTCAAAAGTTTCATAAATTTTACTAATATAAACTGTAATGTTTTATATATTAAATGTGCTACCCTTTATTGAAAAAATAACAGTTTTTTTTAGGAACTCCAGTTTCTCAGTACTGTGTTTAAAAATTACATTAATAAAGATATAATCAAACTCTTGCATACTGTCCTAGTGAAAGTCATGTTCTTTTTGTGAGGAGAATAGTTTTATTTAAAATTGTGTTCAATTATAAAGAAATGGTTGTTGCACATACCAGTTTTTGTAATTGTCTGAATCTTGAATACCTAAAGAGTGAAATTTTTTATGGATTTTTGTTTGTGGTGCCATTCAATAGATGGTGCAGAAGTTTTGGTTGCACACATAGATACTGACATACACGCAACATCCATTATAGTAAGATGTCAGTACACACATTTTATATACCACATTCTTTGTGTTTTTATGTACAGTTGCCTCTGACAGTACTCCTGAGAACTATTGTTTCATGAAATTTCACTTTAGGTTGTCAGAAATAAAAATTAATATGAAAATGCTTTTACACATTCATTTTTATTTCAGAAACTTTTATTATTCATTACACAGAACAAAAGGGAATATGATTAGTTATACAGGTGTACATACTTTGTCAAGTAAAATTTTTAACACCATCTTTAAACTACAAAAATGATGTTAATTAATTATATTAACTAAAGTATAATATAACCTTAGTTGGGATTCTTTCTAGTTTAGCTCTATTAGTCTCTCTTATAACAAAACAAGTGGGATTTATTTTATATTACCAATCTCAGGTTTTCACTGAGTCTGTGCCATTAAGTATTTATTTTTAATTTTAAGGCTTTCCTTTTGACTGATAACTAAGTGAGCAGCGCAGGTGTCTTCTTGCCAACAAATAGTGACATAAACAAATCAAGAGATAGCTTCTTGTTCAGTTAGCTTCAGTGACAGCAGTGGAGATCTATATATTATATACACATACATGAATTATTGTTTTTTAGCCTTGTTGATTTCACTGCACACTGAAGTTGATAAAAGTTGCTTTCTATCTGTGCCTTTAAAATACTGGATCAGATTGCATTTGTTGTGTCATTGATACAATCAGTAGTCATGAATTATCATCCTACCTATTTTGGGAATGAGGCTTGGGCCTTTCCAGTTGGAATTTTTTGTCCATAGCCCACGAAATTAGGAAAAATTGGATTAATAGTATTAATGTTGAACTTAATAATAATTGAACCAATTAAAAAATGGTATATTTAAATTTTGCAAAAGATAATTATATATATACTAGTTATTCTTCAGTGTCAGTTGTATGTTTATCCTCATTATTTCCTGTTACCATTTATTTGTTTCTGGTAATTGGTAATATAGAAAATCCATGAGTGTGTTAATCCAAGCTCTGTTCTCAGTAAATGCATATTACCAAGTTACACAGTAGTTGATAAAGTATCAATATTGTTTAATAAACTTTATGAGGTATTCAAAAGGGGTTGAAAGTGTATTTCTGTAGTGTACTTAATATGCCATAGATGAAATCTAATCATATGAAAATGAGCAAGATCAAAGGAAAAATTGAAGCTTGTAAAAAATAAAGTGAAGTATTTATTTTTGTACATTATGTGTATGTATGCTTCATAAAAATAGTATAGGTCCAATAATATTTTTTTTCCATTATGAGATATGCTTATAGGATCGAAGTAAGTGAATGTAATACAATGATCTTGATTACAGTGTAGTAAAAAAAAGTTATACCAAGACCAAAGTTTTAAACACATTTCAAAACCTAAGATATGACATGTAAATCTTAACTTTTATGTTGTTGTCAAATACAGTTAAACTATTCTGCAAATATATGTTAATAGACAGTGTTACAGAGGCAGAATTTTTTCTTACAGGATTTTGTGTGTTTGTGTCATTTGTTAATTCAACATGATCATGTGCAATTCCAAGAGGTGGTTTGTTGTGTTCAGTTGTCTGTCAGTTGTTCAGTTGTCCCATACCAGTTACTGTATACATGATGAATTGCATAACAATATCCATCTGATCCCAAGAACAAAGCTCTTGTATCCGTCAAGGACTAGAGTATCTAAAAGAGATACTACAAACCAATATCAGCCAATCAGAATTCATCTTCACCATAGAAAACTTGCTAGCGATTTGTCTCCCACGGGGAAAACCAATCTTTTGTCTGTCATGAGAAAAGCTGTTCAAAGAATACAACATCTTCTTTTAGGTAAGTTCACTTTTAGCTTAAAAAAAAGAATATAAATTTATTTATAAATGCTAAATAAGTATTTTTTAGTGTTTTACAGTATAGCTGTATTTTAGAAATAGTTCTTTGTTAAGAGATTAATACTTTTTTGTAGTGGTTCCAGTTCAAGGACCATTATTGCTGCAACGGAACAAAGCTTGTGGAAGTAAGTGGACAAGTGGACCAAACCGAAACAAGTAAGATGATAAATAAGTTTTGTTTTGACATCCTGTGATATCTTTATATCATACATATAAGTTCTTTTGTTATGCCAAAAAAATCCTCACAAGTTTGATAACCCCAGGCAACCTTAAATTAAACCTCAACCTCAAAGTACATTCTTCATTAAGTCATTGATGGGGTTGCTTTCAAATCAACATCATTTTGCATAAAAAAAAGAGGCACAATTTAGAAATTTTCAGGCATTAATAGTACACAAGCACCATTGATATTTTCAGCCTGTCATGCTTTTATAAAGCCCTACCAACAACTTGTCTTTGAAATGTGCATCATTGTTATCATGACACAATGTCACAACAGGATTACCTCTACACGTTCATGCAAGGTTAATGATATCTTAATAAAAGAAAAATACGGTTAGTAAAACAAACAAATCAAGGTAGTGTGACATTTCAATCACACTGCGTGTACAGTGTTTGAACTGTCCTTTACTCACTGCATTGAGTCTGTGTTTTTATAGGTATTTGAAGAATTTTTAGCATTTATGCTACTAATTGATTTTTCTAAGTTATTCAGTAACAAGATGTTTAAGATAATGCAACTTTTTTTTTTCTCATCACCAAAATTTAAAATTTTGACAAGGAAACAAGTTAAGAACCAAATAATATTTCTAACTTTTACATTTCTTTCTTACCAACTTTCTTAGTTCTAGTACATTATCTGGAACTAATATTACTTCAACGCATTTAGACTATTTGAATACTACAGTGATGAAAGTATACCATTATTGTTGATGAAGGAAAAAAAAGTTACAATCCTGTTAATGATACATCTCTATCCTGTGATATAATTAATAGCATACATTGTTTTGCTCCAACCAGTTTATTTGAAAAAGAAATCAATTAGCTTGTTTAATTGATATTAGTTTTGCCAGTATGCAGTAAACTGAAAAGTATTTGATGAATGAATGCTTGCTTGAAACTAATTTTTTTGGCTGTTGGCAAATGTTTGATATTTATTTGTAAAAGTGCCAGCCATGCCTGCCAAAGCAGAAATATCCATAAGTTATTTGCCCTTAATGAATATAACTAGTCAGCATTTCTTGAACATTTTATGTTTTTTACTTCATAATTTTAATGTACTATGAAATTTTAGATCTATATTTGTGATAGTAATTACTTTCCTAATATGAAAGGAAAACAAATATGAAATAAAAAAATAAATACTGCTTGAATGTGTTGTTTTAATTTGCTATCGTAAACTTGAGGAATCCCATTGAAAATGTACAAGAAAGTTACACTTTAAGTTACTGGAAAAGGCTTATTTGATCAATTATCATATCACATTATAATACCCCCACGGCTGAAAGGGCAAGCATGTTTGGTGTGACGGGGATTCGAACCTGCGACCCTCAGATTGTGAAATACTTTATATATCACTGTTCTAGTGTTTAGCTAGTGACCATCAAGAAACACTGGCATTTTTTTTTCCATTTGATAATACACGCACAATTATGAATATTCAAATCAGCTGTAGCCAATCATCAAAATTATTTTAAAATGCTGGCTGCAAGTACAACATTTATGAAAAAAAACATTTTGGTCAATCCCACTCTTCATCGGTAAAAGAGTAGCCAAAGAGTTGGTGGTGGGTGGTGATGACTAGCTGCCTTCCCTCTAGTCTTACACTGCTAAATTAGGGATGGCTAGCGCAAATAGCCTTTGTGTAGCTTTGTGCGAAATTCAAAACAAACAAACTTAAAGTAGTTCTATTTTGCAGGATAATATTATTGTCAGGAAAATGTGGATTATACTTGTCTTGAACTGTTCACTTGGTTTTTTTTTGTTGCATGATTACTAGCTTGAACTATTCCACTGATGGAATTACTCAAATTACCAATGGTTTAAGATTTTTTTTTTCATACACATTTTAAGTCATTTTGATGGACATATTTACCTTCACTCAAAAGTTTGTCTTTTCTTTTGTGTAAAAAATAAATGCCACATAAAAATTCACCCTGCAGATCTAAATCTTCTACCAACTTGATATTATTTAGAGTTACTGTTAATAGAGCAGTGTTGACCCTACCAAAAGTTTTGTTTATTTTGGTTTTAACACATGAGGTAAAACCATGAGAATGGAAAGAGTCAAAGCAGTGTATAATGATGGTTTCTTTTTTTCAAATGGAACAAGAACACATGGTTATGATTTTTAGTATATGTAATACAATTACATAAGCAATATTATTTTAAGTTACATTTAATTAAGAAATCATCTTA